GAATTCACTGTTTGGACAAATTGGGGGTCTCTGGGGGCCTCCAGACCTCCAGAGACCTCAGGTCGTTCCCTGTGTCCTCGTCCCTCCGCTCTCTCTCTCTCCCCCCTTTGCACGGGAAAAGGCTGTAGCTTCACCCTCGGCGGAGGGAGGAGAGCGGAGAGCAACCGCGAGGCTCCAATGGTGCTGCCACGAGTCTGATGCTGCTTGCTGTGAGCGCCGGCCGAGGCGCTGACGAAGGGAGCTGCCCGTAACAATCCATGCCCGGGCGAGCGGTCGAGGGCGAGGAAAAGGAATGTGGCCCACGAATCGGGGAACTAAGCCTGATGGGCCTGTCTTCCAGGAGGAGGAGGAGGAGGAGGAGGAGGAGGAGGAGGAGGAGGAGGAGGAGGAGGAGCAGGAGGACGCGGAGGAGGAGGACGAAGAGGAGGAGGAGGAGGAGGACGAAGAGGAGGAGGAGGAGGAGGAGGAGGAGGAGGAGGAGGAGGACCCCCTCCCCCTCCATCTTGTGGTGGTGGTGGTGGAAAACAGGCCCATCCAAGCCATGGCCCCAAAAGTCGACAATGGCATGTTTTGTTGCGGGGTCGCCCGTCTCGCAGACATCGAGCGCCCGGGGGGGTCCCGCAGCTCAGGGCGACGGGCTCGCTCGCCGTCGGACACGCCCGTCGTCACAGCTCCAGCGGCAGTGGCGGTGGCCCCTGACTCGGGCAGGGCCAGGGAAGGTCAGTGGGGCGGGCGGAACTTCGGGCGGCTCTAACGATACGAGTTCACCCACGCGGGGGAACTATGCGGCTTCGTGCACCTGGATCCTCGGAGGGGGAACGTTCACAGCGCCCGTTCCCTGTCAGGAGATCCAACCCTGCCATGCCCCCAAACTGGAAAGGCAGTCAAGACAGGACAGTCAAAAATCACATTGGAAATTGATGTCACTCGTCTCCAGCTGGAGCATGGGAGCTTCCAGCCTGGCGATCAAATCGTAGTACGACTCGCCCCTGGGGTAGCGATAGCCGAGCTTATCCTTCTTCCGCAGGCTGGCCTCGACGGGCTCGCGCTCCTTTACCTGATCGTAGGTTAGGCCCTCAAACTCGCCGGCGTAAATCTCGTCCAAGTTGCGATAGACGCGCTTGGCCATCTGTACCCACTGGCACCTGCGCCGCCAAAATATGTCCATGTCCATTGCCGCGGGGTCGTGTCCTGGGGACTCGAGGAGTGGTAGATATGGATATTTGACGCTCACGCGGGCGGGCAGATTTCCATATCCAGCATCCCTCGAGATCCCAGGGCACGACTCCGAAGCAGTGGATATGGACATATTCTAGCGGACCCGTCTGGCGTGGTCACCACGGGGTGCTTTATGTGAGCCGCCGTCTCGTTCGTGCGCTTCATGGAGGACGTCCACAGCCGCGCCAGCTCGGGGGGGCCCTCGGCTGTCGACTCCTCGGCGAGGACCAGCGTCACCCAGCCGGCGCCCACGTCCGCCAGCAGCTCGCCCTTGGAGCTGGGCGCGGGCTCGAAGGGCCCATCGGGGGCTCGCTGCACGCGCACCACGTGCAGCCCAGCTTGCACCTCAATCTCGCTGTTTTTTGTTAGAGATGACGAGCCATTGGTGAGCACCGAGCCACGTGCGAGGCGGGGATTCATCCATATCCACCGCCCGAAAATCGACGTCCTGGTTCCCCAGCAGGCGGTGGACATGGATATATGTTGGCCCCCAGAGGCCCATACTTACATACGTATATATATATATACACACACATTCACACAGTCATAGAGACAGACATACATACAGACAGACAGACATACATACATACACACATACACACACACATACACACATACAGACATACAGACATACAGACATACCGACCTACCGACCTACCTACAGACCAGCACACCTGCATACCTACCTACCTACCTGCCTGCCTGCCTCCCTACCTGCATATCTTCATACATCCATACATACATGTATACGTATATGCATGCGCACATGAAAACATACATCCATACCTACATGCATGCATACACACGTACATACACGCATATGAGCACGTACACGCATATACACAAACGCACATACATACACACATATATGCATACATACATACATACATACATACATACATACATACATACATACATGCATGCATGCATGCATACATACATACATACATACATACATACATGCATAGATACATACATACATACCTACATACATACATGCATACATACATACATACATATATACGTACATACATACATACATACATACATACATACATACATACATGCATACATACATGCATACATGCATGCATACATGCATACATGCACATATGCATACTTACTGACATGCATATACATATACACACATACATTCAGACATGCATGCATGCATGCATGCATACATAAATAAATGCCTGTACACACACACACACACACACATATACATATGTATATATATATATATGCATGCAGACATACATTAACGTAGACATGCATACAGACGTAAATGCAGAAATGGAAGTATGCATGCATACATACATACGTACATACAAGCATAGAGACATGCACATATATATATACAGATGCATTCAGACAGACATACAAACATAGATACATACACGTAGGCATACACATACACACACACGTACATACATACATGCATACGTGCATACATACATAAATGCACACCTGCATGCATGTATGCACTCTTCCATGCATGCACATATGTATGGTTATGTATATACACACATGTACATAAATGTATACGTATACACATACTTACGTACTTCCATGTATACATATATGCATACAAACACGCATACATGCACACATGCAGTACATGCATACGTACATATAAACATATGTACATATATATATATATAAATACACATATATATATATAGATGGGAGAGAGCGTGATCCACCGCCGTTTTGCTGTTAACCACCCTTTCCCTCAGGAACCAAGGGCCCCCCCCCGAAAATCCCCCCACACTTTTTCTAACCCGTCCCCCCCCCCGCTTTCCCCCGACAAACCCCCCCCTCCCCAACCCCTCCCTCTCCCCCCCCTTCCCAGAAAACTAAAGGGGGTCACTACCGGTTCGAACCCCCACCTCCTCCTGGGAAAACCGTGGGGGGTCACAACCGTTTCGACCCCCCCCCCGCTGCTCGCCGCGGGCAAACGACTCCCTGATCCCCACCACCGCCCCGACCACCGCCTCACCACTGTCCCCACCACCAACGTCCCCACCACAGTCCAACTGCCCCCACTATCCCCACCACTGTCCCACTGTCCCCACTGTCCCCACCACTGTCCCCACTGTTCCCACTGTCCCCACAACTCTCTCCACTGTTCCCACTGTCCCCACCAGTGCCCCCACCACTGTCCCACTGTCCCCCCTCTCCCCACCACTGTCCCCACCACGGTCCCACTCTCCCCTCTGTCCCCACCAGTGTCCCACTGTCCCCACCACTGTCCCACTGCTCCCACTCCCCAGTGTCCCCACCGCTGTCCCAATATGCTGTCCCACTGTCCCCACTGTCCCACTGCCCCCACTGTCCCCACAACTGTCCCTAGTGCGCCACTTTCGAAATTGTCTCACTGTCCCACTGTCCCAGTTGTCCTCACTGTCCCACTGTCCGCACTGTCCCACTTTCCCACTGTCCCCACTGTCCCCACTGCCCCACTGTCCCCACCGTCCACCACCATCCCGACCACCGTCCCCACCACCGTCCCCACCACAGTAGCTCATCCGGAGTGGGGGAGGAGGGGGAGTCGTTTCCCCATTGTCCCACTGTCCCACTGTCCCCACTGTCCCCACTGTCCGCTCCGTCCCCACCACCATCCACACCACCGTCCCCACCACTGTCCCTACCAATCCCCCATCTGGAGTGCGGGAGGAGGGGGAGTCGTTTGCCGGCGGGCGGCGAGTAGGGGGGGGGGTGGAGGGGGGGGGGGGGTTCGAACCATTAGTGACCCCCACCTTTTCATGATGGACCAGGGGGGGCGGGCGGGTTTTCCCAGTGAACCCCCCCCCTCCGTTCTCAAGAAGGGGGTGGGGGGGGACACGGTTTGAAACCCCCAGTGACCCCCCCCCCCCGGCTTTCTGTCAGCAGCGACAGAACGCTCTTGCACACACACACACACACACCACACACACACGCACACACACACACACATACACACACACACACACGCATACACACGTACACACACATACATACATACATACATACATACATACATACATACATACATACATACATACATACATAGATAGATAGATAGATATATACATACATACATACATACATACATACATACATACATACATACGTACATACATACATACCTACATGCATACCTACCGACCTGCCTATATACCTACCTACCTACCTTCCTACCTAAATACATACATGCACACATACATACATACATACATACATACATACATACATACATACATACATACATGCATACCTACATGAATATATGCATGCATGCATGCATGCATGCATGCATGCATGCATGCATGCATACATACATACATACATACATGCGTACATACATGTAAACATGCATACATACTTGCATACATACATACACACATGCATGCGTACATGAATGCATTCATGCATGCATGCATTCGTCCATGCATACATACATACATATAGACATAAGTGCATGTGTATACGTACATGGATGCAAGCATGCATGAACACATACATACATATGCCTATATAGTTGCGCATGCACACACATACATACATGCCTGCATACATGCATACATACGTGCATATATCGCATACAGACACCTAAATAAACCCACATGCATACATACATGCATATATATATATATATGCACACACACATACGTACATGTATGAATGCATACATATGTATAAATGTGCATATATACACACATACATGCATGCATGCATAGTTGCATATATACATGCGTATAAACATGCACACATATGTACATACATACATACATATATGCATACATGTATACGTACATATATGCATACATGCATGCATACATACATATATGTAATACATACATACACACACCTGCATATACATGTATGCATGGTTGCATACATGTATACACATACGTACATACACACATGCATGCGTGCATGCCTACATACATGCATGCATGCATACAGGCATGCATGCCTACGTATATATATGTATATATATATGTGAATACAGACATGCAAACAACCATACATACGTACATGTATACACACATGCATACATACACACTTGCATGTATACATATATACATATATATACGTGTATACATATATGTGTGCACCGCCTATGGAAATCCGCGAAGATCGATCCCCCAGGCAATGGTGATGAACAAATTGCCGCCTCGGACCACGACTCGGTGAAAGGCTGGGGCGCCAGCCAGGGCGCACCGCCTGCAGCCCTTAGCGGGAGCTGCGCCTGCCGAGCTGAAGCGCGCCGAACGCAAAGACGGAGTTGGACCACAGGTGAAGCCCAGATTGCACGAGGAGGAGAAGGAGGAGGAGGAGAAGGAGGACGGGGTGGAGGGGGAGATGGGGGAGGAGGAGGAGGAGGAGGAGGAGGAGGGAGGAGGAGGAGGAGGAGGGGTGAGGAGGGTGAGGAGGAGGAGAAGGGGGGGGGGGGGAGGGAGGGTGAAGAGGACGAGGAGGGGGAGAGGAGGAGGAGGAGGGGGAGGAGGAGGAGGAGGAGGAGAAGGAGGAGGAGGAGGGGGAGGAGGAGGGGGAGGAGGAGAAGAAGGAAGAGGAGGGGAGTCGGGGGAGAAGGAGACGGAGAAGGAGGAGGAGAAGGAGGAGGAGGAGGGGGCCTGCTTTGGTCTCTCGCCAGGGCTTCTCTGCGAGCATAACCCCCGAAGGGCGTTCTTGGAGCTTCCGAGGACCCCCCCCCACACACCCCGCCCTCAGGATGGGCCCTGGGCTCCATGGAGGTCCACCATTGGCTCGGGGGGGGGGCCACGCCCTCGCCATACTTTCACCCTCACCGTGTAGTGCCGTATCGTTCCCAGCGTAGCTAGCACGAGACAGGTTCTGCCCATGGCGCAACTACATATGTCCATGCTCCAAGTTCATGAGCTCATCTCGCGAAGCTCTCGCAGCTACGAGGAAACCACAGGCTTGCAACATCGTCCCCTTACCTCGAGTGGTCCCCGTACCCCAGCAAGAGCACATCACAAACATTGAAGGGGCCCAGGGACACACAAATAAATAGACACTGATCCCAGGATTCCCCCTGTGTTCCCATATTGTCTGGGTGTTCGTATTCCCCCTCACTTCCCATAGTTTCCCATGTCTCCCTGGGAGTCGACAACTAATTGCGTCTGCGTTTTCCCACTTCTAAACAATGCTTTTCAGCCACCGCTTCCCCGCACCTGGCGAATATGCCGTCACCTCAAAGCGAATTGCATGTCACCTCAGAGCTGCCTGTTCACTCACAGCTGCTGTCATACTGCCTCGCACAAACTGCATATGGCCCACGCCGACACTGAAAAACAACGGCGACAATATGGCAAGAAAGATTCCCGCACTACTGGCAACCGTCGCGCTACATCCACGGATTCAGCACATGGCCTTTTCATGAACACTACACATGACCATATGCTTAACATGCCTTCAAGGGGAAGGAAGAGAGTAAATGAGAAGAGGCAAGACAGAGGAGAGCGATACTGCGGACAAGAAGGGGGCGTCCAAAGCCGTGCGCCAGTTCTGGCGGGGCAGTAACCAGGAGCGGATTTGAAACTCAACTTAGTTGCTGCTGCGCTGCCACGCTGCCACGGTGGAGGGGCTTGACGCATGCAGCTGGATCTTACATACGTAAGCGAGTTCTCTCCTGAAAACGCCGACCCTGTGAGCTCGGCCGAAGGTGCTGCTGGCGCCCGACATACTACAACACCGATCCTGCAAGATGTTGACGAAAATCGGGACGCGCGAGGAACGAAGGGGAGGGGGAGTGGACGGGAAGGAGGAGGAGGAGGAGGACGACGACGACGACGACGAGGACTACGACGACGAAGAGGACGATTACGACGAGGATTATGGTTAACTCAGGCTACATCAGCGACGCTGAAACATCAAAATGCAAACATTTAGGATCATAAGTAAAACAAGCCGCAATCCATCAGTGAACTGGTTGCACAAGCTTACAGCCATGCTCAAAAACGTAGAAGAAATCATCAACCCACTTGAACATCCTTCTCTTAAAAATTTGCTGCTCCGTTGCCCAAGTTCACACTTCTGCGCATCAGGCCCAGAGGAGAGGTCTCCAGCCAGCCACAACCCGATTGTAGAGAAAAAGCAAACACCAACAACAACAACAACAACAACAACAACAACAACAACGACAACAACAACAATAACAATAACAATGACAATAACAATAACAATAACAACAAAACCCGCGCAGCTGGTGAACACTTTCAACACGAGTGTGCGCAGCGCTCGGGTGAGAGCTCAGCCCAGCCGACAAGCTGGACCTCCTCCCCCCGATCTCCGGGAGGGTCCCGCCCCAGACACGGGCGAGCCACGCGGCACACGCATCACCTCGAGGGACCAGTGCTCCGCGTGCGCTGAGCGAGACGCCTGTCGATGAGCCTGAGAACGTGTGTTAGCGCCAGCGTGTGTTTCCCCTCTGAGGCCCTTCACTGCGACGAAGGCGATGTGATGATCGACTGGCGGGTTGAACGGGGTAGACACACATTGGGCTAATACACGTCCTCAGGATCATCGAGTCTGCCACGCGGGGCTCATCGGGAAGCGGCTTCCCGAAGGGCAGGGAACACCGGTGTCTGGCGCCACGCTTGGGGGATCCGCCGCCGCTCTGACCTCCCCGGTGTCCTCACTCCCCCCCTCTCCCTGTTCCTCTCTTCGTCCTCCCGTGCTGCCGGAGCAAGTAGTGTTCCTCTATTGCAACAAAGAGTTCGGTGGCAACTCATGGGAGCCTCCCATGCCATCTTGTCGGCTCTTGCGAATCGACGCTAGTCGACGCTAAATCGACGCTAATCGACGCTAAATCGACGCTAAATCGACGCTAGTCGACGCTGAATCGGCGCTAGCTCACCGACTCCCAGACGCTAAACGACGCTAATCGACGCTGAAGACAGAATTACGAGGGTACACAAGGCTGCCATGATTTGCTGGGGAGCGTGACCACAGCGCTTCACCCGACTAGGCCTCGACCGCCGAGCGACTCAAGAGGTCACCCGACGACCCGGGAGCGCCACACGAGCCGACCTGAGATAGGCAAGCTCATGCACTGGACAGAGGCCCTGCTGCCCCTAGATGGGCGAGAAACGGCATCAACAATAACTTCTGAGCTCCGCGCGGAGATCTCGGATCGGCGCTGGGAAGCCCTCCCTGGCGCGCGGAGCGCGCCTAGCGCGCCTAGGGCGGCGCCAAAGGCGCCAGCAGGGTGGCCCCACGCCGATCCAAGAGCTCCGCGCGGAGCTCCGAGAAGTAATGTTTATGCCGTTGATTGTTCTTCGAGCCCCAGCGGGCGTAAGTGCGTAAGTCTCCAGCGAGCGGGCTCGCAAGCGTCACGTCCGAGGGGGGCTCCGCCCGACAGTCGCCGGCAAGACTTCGCCGCATGTTCAGTTGCGCTGTCGCACTCGGCTCCACGGGCAATCCTGTCTGCCCAATCCGTGTGGGCTGATTCTCGGTCTTGTTGCTGGATGTCGTCTGCCCACGGCATTGACAGGCATCTCACTGGTTGTGAAGGCTGCGATGGAGAAAGACGACGAGGACGTTCGAGGAAGAAGAGGACGACGACGAAGACGCCGAAGGTGAGGAGGAGGAGGAAAGAGATAACAAATGATGAGGAGGAGATCGATGGAAAGGAGAAAGATCAGGACGCTCATGTATATAAACATGTGAGAAGAAGGAAGAAGAGGAAGATCATGAAAAGGAGGAGGAAGAGGATGAGAAGGAGGAGGACAAGATGCGCTAAGCAAAGGGAGGAGGAGGAGGACGAGGAGGAGGAGGAGGAGGAGAAGGATAAGGAGGGGGCAGAAAGCAGACGCCTGCTGTAGCAGCGGATCGTCGAAGCAGTCCCACTTTCCAATAGTGCGTATGGCAGTGCCATCACCCACGGAAACCTTCGGGAAGCAAATCACACGCGAAGGACGATGGCAAAGAGGAAGACTATGCAGACGACGACAATGACGGACGGCAACAGACGACGACGACGACGACGACGACGACGACGACGACGACGACGACGACGACGACAGCGACAGACGACGACAACACACGACGACGGACGACAGATGACGACGACTTTCAAGTTTCCCACAGAATGCCCGGGACTCCCGAGGACCCCCCAGGGCAGTTCGGGGACACGTAAGACTCGGGTACGGGGGACTCGGATTGGCCTGACGGCATCATCATAAAAAGGACGAGACCCAATCTGAAATTTGACGTGAGCCCCCGCTGCAGACACCCCACGAAAACTGGCCCGTCGAAATCCGGAACGCACTCGGCAGAAAACGGAGGCGAGCCCGAGTCCCGGCCTACTCGAGTCGCACGTCTCCCCAGGCGGTACGAGACGGACTCGCCCCCTCCGCTGCGCGAGCCGACGGGCTCGCCGGCGCACCGGAGCCGCCGTCGGACCGCCCTGCCGGAGGAGGCGCCGGCGGACCGCGCTCCGCGGGGCGGACAGCGCTCCGCCTCGCCGGCGGTCGGCCCCACCGGGCGTGCGGGCGGGGCCTGGAGCGGGCGGGCGGGCCTCTCCAACGGGAGGGACCTCTGAGCGGGCGGGCTGCTGCCCGAACGACTGGGTGGGCCCTGGCGGGCGGTGCCGCCCCGCCCCGGCGGGACCTCCTCCAGCAGCGGCGCCAGGCGCTCCACGTCCGCTGCACCGCAGGACACGCAGGCGAAGCGCCGCGCCCGCCTGCAGACGACAAAATCCGCGAACTCGCCGAGCCGTCGCGCGTACCTCGGGGCCGAGGGGGATCCTCCTCCATATCCTCATCTTCAC